GAAGGCCTCGTAGAGGCTGTCGCCGGTGATGGATTGCTTAGCTCAATCCAGATCACACCCCGCCGCCGTGACTAGCCTTTTCTTGGAAGGCGTCTTACGACTCGCACCTACTGCACAACACCAATCCCACTCTCCACAATAGGGGTGGTCACCAATAGGGTGAGTTGAGAACATTTTAAAATAAGCCGGAGCTGGACATCACAGATAAAATGCATAAATAAATAAAATAAATAATATATATAATAATATCAAAGCATAAAATCAGACGCCACAATTAAAATAAAGTGCAGTAGGGCTAAAATGGCCAGAAGTTTTTCCCACAAGTTGCTGAATCACCTGTGGGGTTGCGCGCCGCGGCGCGTCCGAGGGGCGTCGTAGTCCATGAATTCATGGTATATTTCGATGGAACTACGAAGTGCTATTAACGACATTGTTAAAAGCACGTGATTTTGAGAGATTCCTAACTTAGTTAGGTTTTTGATGGTCTCCCTGGGCATCGCCCCTCTTGTTCCTACCACGACTGGTAGGACTTCAGCAGAGCAAGCTGCCCACCTCTGCTGGAATTGAGGTAGCAAGCGGCTATATTTTTCTACTTTGCTTGTAAACCCTTGAGCGAGATTATTCCCGTCTTCGTGGCGGACTGTAACAACGACCACGAAGACCCTTCCCCGGCTTTGTATTACCAGGTCAGGTTTGAGATTCCCGCCTCCGGTTGCCGCCACCGTCGGTTCAACCGTTATTGCCACCTCTGGGCCTTTCTTTTTAAGTTCTTCCACGATGAGGTTTTTGATCTCATCGTGCCTTCGAATCCTATGTGGTTTCGTGTGACGACATTGCCCCAATATGTGTCCCAATGTCTCAATTTGCGAACCACATTGCCTGCATGTAGGATCCGGTATTCTGGTCGCTCTGCTCATGGCCGCCCTGTCAGCACATGAGTTGGTTCTCATCTTGAGGGCTGTAATCATACGACATGGCTTGAGCAACGAGGGGTCCCTAAGCCATGCGTTTCCGATCTTGGAGTCGGCGAAGGCCGCTGCCGACTTTCCTTGAGAACAAGGCGCTTCCATCTGGCAAGCTCAGCCTTCTTTTGCGTTCTAGTATAGCTGGCCAGTTGCTCCCCAGTAACTGGCCAAGCTATCCGGGCATCGAGAGCGAGTCGCCTCACTCTACTCTCGAGCTTAGTGCCCGTGGCAAGAGCTTGCTTGCCGGGTCGGGGTTGTCCACGAACTTTAAGCCGGCTTTAGGGCTGATGAGGTGGCGAGCCACTCCAACCTCGGGATCGCAAGTCCCCCGTCCCTCTTACCGCAGTATAGTAAGGCGTTCGTTGTTGCCTGCGGCAGGTGAAGAATTCTTCACCACTACCCGTAGCTCCTGGTCCATCAGTTTTATCTGTGTCATAGCCGGCATCGCTATGGGACAACTGATACAGGTAATGAGGAACAATGTAAGTAGAGATTAATCTACCTTTTGATGCGGTTTCAACTTCAGTCGTTGCACACGACTAAGAGTTGAAGCAAGGTCGGCTCGTATGCCCTCGGTTGTGACCCCAACCCAGGGAGACAACTTGCATCCAAGGTAGACAAGGTGATCGCCGGCCCCCGCTACCGGTATCACTTCTCCACTGTCGAGTTCGAGGCCTGGGTCAGTTAAGTACCAGGAGTCTTTGGTACGGTTTACACGGAAGGTGCGGCATTTATTGGCAGCAATCTTCATACCTAGACTCGATAGGTATGCTTCCGTGCTACTTAACTGGTCCTTAGCATGTGGTACTGTTTGCGCGACTAGGAGCAGATCGTCGGCAAATGCTAAGGACGATATCTGCGTCTCTGTGTCGATTCTGTACCCAGGTCTCGTTTCCAGCTTAACTAGCAAGGGCTCCAAAACTAGATTAAATAGTAATGGGCTGAGGGGGTCACCTTGCTTGACCCCCCGCTGGAGGCGTATCTCGATTGGCGCCTGATCAGTTCTATAATAGTGGTAACATCCTCATATGCATTTTCCACGATACGTACCACCTGTTCGGGAAAACCTTTTCGACGTAACGCGTGTCCTATAGCTTGGTGCGGCACGGTATCAAATGCTTTGGACACGTCCAGCTGCGTTACGACCAGGCCATTCTTGGCTTTTGAGTGCCTCAGCAGCTCGTTGAGGATGTGGATGTTGTTGAAGCACCCAGATTCGTTCATGAAGCCCTTTTGTCTGGGTGAGAACCGTGCTTTTGCCCTAAGTTTGCTGTCAATAATGCCAAAGTAAATTCTCGACATTAAAGAAGAGATTGTAATTGGACGGTAGTTTTTCAGCTAACATACCGTCCTTACCCGCTTTAGGGATCAAAGTAGTTTCGGTTCTTCCTCCAGGCGGTAGGAATCTTACCGCTTATCATGATTAAATTGAAAAATAACTGGAGGACTTCGTTTGCACCAGGAACGCGTTTAATGTCTCCCTTTTTAATACCATCGGGACCCGGTGCTGTGGACATTTTCATCCGAGAGAGACGCGTATTCACCTCTTTCGCCGTCACGGCGGTTAGCACAGTACCTAACCCAAGTGCCGGTTCGGAGGGCTCTCCCAGGAAGGGCACCTGTACTTCCGACGGATTTGTGCCCCAAAGCTTTTTGTACAGGTCCCGCACGTCTTGGGCTGGAGCTTTTACCCCTGGTTCCTCCAGCCAGTCCACGTTGTTACGGACGTGCTTGGCAAGAATGCCTGGCTCTTTTTTGTAAATATCCTGGGTACGGGCGTAGAGGTACCGTCTGTTACCCCTCTTATTTTGTCCTCTACGCCTTCCCTTTCGTCGCCCTGCAACTCCCCGCTCCTCGCTGACGAAGAGAGCGGTGACTCTATCATGTAAAGTATCTATTTGCGATTGGGGCTGCCCCATAGGCAAATCGCAAGCCTCGGAGATTGCATTTCTAAGCAGCTGGGTGACCGTGTTCACCTCCAGATGTTGCTGTGCCGCTCGAGTCAACTTGCAGCTACGGGCAGTCTGAGCAACATCCTGTCTCCAAAGTATCTCTTCTGGAGAAGCTGCTGGCGATACCAACTCATCTTCACTGACATTCAGTACCCTCTCTGACATGTCAGGCGTCTGAGTCGGACTTATGTTTTCGGCGGTGGGGGTGATATTATTAACGTTATTTTCACCCCCTGCAATGGCAGCTACTGCTGATACGTCGAGTAGCTCCGGGACTGGGATAGGGGAGCCACCCCCTATTCCCGCTTCCTCGCAGCTGTTGGTTTCGGGCGCTTCTTCTTGGGGGACGGTAGCTCTACCATCCCCTGTGTCTGTGGATACTGGTTCTGTACTGTCATCATCAGTACTAGCGCACGCTGTGATCCCTCTTTCTGCGAGGTACCTTTCACGCCGTTCTTTGTAGCATTTTTGGGCCCTTTTGTCCCGGAGTTGTTTCAAAGTTTTCTCTGGTATCAACTCCCGCATGCGCATTGCTATACGCAACTCACCCCGGTACCGGAGTTCGCACTCCATCATTATTTGTTCCTCCTCTTCAGTAAAGATAACCAATCTTCTTTGTCGAGGAGACCGCCGTGTACCCGCTGCCCTAGCTTCGTTTCGGGTGAGTGGATGCCGGTGCCGCTGGTGCTGTGTTAGTGCACCGCGGCCGGAGTACCTTTCGCCGCAATCGGGGCAGGCCACGCCTACCGATTCGGGTATAGGCCTGTTACTTGGTACTCCGTCAGTCTCTGAGTCTGTTGACTCTGGAGGTGGGGCTGCCGCAGCAGCTCCCACCGGGCACTTGGGGACGTGACACAGTGCCGCATGTTTTGCTATATACATTTTTGAGCACATCTCGCATTTGAATCTGATTTGTATATCCTTGTGATCAGATTTTAATGTTTTATTTCATCATTTAAGGTCATGTGCAGGATGTTAATGCTTCTTTTGAGGCATAGGGGGCATGACCTTTCTATAAAAGAGTCATAGTTACCCCGCCCGTTTACCCGCGCTTGCTTGAATTTCTTCACGTTGACATTCAGAGCACTGGGCAGAAATCACATTGAGTCAACACCCGCAGGGGCCATCTCAATGCTTTGTTTTAATTAGACAGTCGGATTCCCCCGGTCCGTGCCAGTTCTGAGCTGACCGTTGAATGGCGGCCGAAGAGGACACCAGAACGCCCTTGCGAGCGCACTCTGGGCCTCGCAGCAAGACGGTTCCGCGGGAGGCCAAGGCACGGTACCGAGTTCGGATCCGCAATCCTACCGCACACGCGCGAACGCATACGACAGAACGTTTCACCTCGCCCAGGCCCGGCACGTCAGCCGCGACCCGCTTCCTCGCCAAGCCCGACACGCCCCGATCCTCAGAGCCAATCCTTATCCCGAAGTTACGGATCCAATTCCCCCGACTTCCCTTACCTACATTATTCTATCGACTAGAGGCTCTTCACCTTGGAGACCTGCTGCGGATATGGGTACGAACCGGCGCGACACCTCCACGTGGCCCTCTCCCGAATTTTCAAGGTCCGAGGGGAAGACCAGGACACCGCTGCAACTGCGGTGCTCTTCGCATTCCAAACCATATCTCCCTGCTAGAGGATTCCATGGAACTCGAATGCTTATGCAGAAAAGAAAACTCTTCCCTGGTCTCCCGACGGCGTCTTCGGGTCTTTTTGGGTTACCCCGACGAACTCTCTTGCGAGGGCCCGACTATTGTACGGTTCCGCTGCCGGGTTTCGGAATAGGAACCGAATTCCCTTTCGCCCGACGGGCGTGTTCTTTAATATACACACATACATACATATATTTATAAAACAACGCCACATCAACATCGGCTTTCGCCTAGGGCTTAGGATCGACTGACTCGTGTGCAACGGCTGTTCACACGAAACCCTTCTCCACGTCAGTCCTCCAGGGCCTCGCTGGAGTATTTGCTACTACCACCAAGATCTGCACCGACGGCGGCTCCAGACGGCCTCACGGCCAGCCCTTCTGCGCGCACCGCCGCGACCCTCCTACTCGTCAGAGCTTCATGGCCG